GGGATTTAGAAAAGCTAAAGACAAACGGCTTTTATATGCATACTTTTAAAAAATGACTAGAAATTCATAGCAGACAAAGAAGGTCAAAGACATTCCATTCACATGCAAAGGCACAGACCTGTGAAAGCATATAGTGCTGCCACGGGGCCCATAAGTTGTCCAGTAGGTCTGAGGTCAAGGATGCCAGGTGTAGAGGAGACGATGCCCAGAGACCAGGTAGAATAGTAGGTTGGGTGAGGCGTTAAAGGCTCCTGAATGCCATTTTGGAGAGTTTGGATCTGTTCCAGTAGTTTCTGAAGTGGATTTGCATTTGCTCCAAGGGTTGCACAAGATTTTGTTGGGATGCTAAAAAGTCTTTTGAACTACTGTTATTATTGCTACAACCATTAAAATGAAATATCCAAATAAACTGAAAGTGTCAAAAAAGATTTTCAAAAATAACCAAGTACATCCAGTTCCATTACTCTCACCATAGAATATGATTTGGTGCAATAAGATTTTTTACACTATTAATAAAAATGTTGCAAATATTGTTCTTATTTTTAATTCTTTAATTTTTATTTTATGTGTTTTATAACATACACATTTTTTTACTATAGGGAAACATGTATATGATTTATAAATACCTAAATAAATCTAAGTTCTGGGTGCATGCTGAAAACTATTTACTGAAATCAAATACTTTGATTAAGACCTGCGTAATCAAAGTATTTGAAGGCCACTCCACAAGTAAGGGAAAGCCTCCAAAGGATTTCATGTAAAATAGTGGCTTACTAATGTCTGTTTTTGGACACCTCACCCTGGCAACTGTTTGAAGAATGATTATAGGACAAAAAGAATGGAGGTCGGGAAACCATTTAAGAGGATGTTTCAGTAGTCGTGTTGGGAAATAAGGGGCCTAAACTAGTTGTTTTCTGTTGCTTGGGACTCTTGGAATAAAACACATTTAGGAATATTTGAAAGCAAAGGGTAGCAGCTTGCTAGTGGGTTTCACAGTCCGAAAGGCTAGGGATACAAGGTCAAAAGAGGCGTGCCCCGTTTCTCCCCAAATAACACAGGCTTTTTTTTTCTTCTTTTTAAAAATATATCTTTATTGATTTCAGAGAGAGAAAGGGAGAGGGAGAGCGAGAGATAAAAACATCAATGATGAGAGAGTCATTGATCGGCTGCCTCCAGCACGACCCCGACTGGGGATGGAGCCAGCAACCAGGCATGTGCCCTGACCGGGAATTGAACCCCGATCACCTGGATCCTAAGTCGATGCTCAAACACTGAGCCACACCTGGCCAGGCATAACTCAGGCTTTTAATGGCAGGGACAAGGACAACAGAAACATTTTTAGCTGCATTTTCAAAGATTATGGGGATTTCTCCAGGAAGAAAGAGAAGCAAGGGCCTTTCAGGCCATGGGATCATACCTGCAGAAGCCCAAAGCGAAGAGTGTGTCTGACATACGCATGGAAGAGAGACGGAAACGTTAGCTGGCCTCATGTTACAAAGCGCTAAGAATGCCATACTCGCTAAGGAACTTTTATCCTGTGACCAGTTTAAACAATGGATGCTCTCTAGAAAAATACTGGCATAGCTAGTCTTATTAATGAATGGCCTTAGGTCAAGGGACATAGTGGTTGGAAGGAAACAAGTATATAGCAGAGTTCTCCAAGCATGGCTTCTGTCATTTTACCTTGTGACCGCATGGGGGTGGTCTCAACCCATCACACCCTGAAGGTCTCTGGCTCAGCTCAGAACTTGAGGTTTCAACTGAGCATTCCAAATCATTGTACAAGTCTTAGGTGCTGTTCTGTGTTGCCTGTCTTTGGGAGAATGCACATTTTAGAAATTAACAGTGTTTTATGGGTTATCTCTAAATAGTCCTTGGGATCCTCAGGTCAAATTCTAATCTGTTCTTTTAGTTTTCAAACTGCACCAATAACATATCCCATAGGACCTGGCAATACAGTGCCTGATGGATCTTGTAAACACCATTTACTTTACAAAATCCAGCACGTTCCCTCCATCCCTCCATTTTATAGATTATATAACTAAGTCTGAAGGAGGAACGTGGCCAGATGAAACAATTTTTAAAACTATGGTGTAATGACAGAATCTACATAGCTGTTAAAGTGAATGAACTAAAGCCACGTGTGTCAACCAGTGAAGACCTCAAACACATAACACTGAGGGGTTTTAAAAAAAAGTAGCTCTATAATAATTCTTAGAAAATAACAGTTATATAAATATTCTCAACACTGCATGGATGCCTAACAACCGTAGTAAACAGGAAGCTGTAGACTGGAAGGGTAAAAGCAAAGGTCTGACTAGTATCTACCTCTGGACTTTGGAAAGACACCTCACTTCAGTGCTCATCACTTATCAAAGGACTAGGGTCAGTGCTGGGAGCCTTTTGATTTGTTTGTTTCTAAAACTTTTATTTTTATTTTTGTAATCTTTATTTTCCCAATTATAGTTGACATACATTATTATATTAGTTTCGGGTGTACACCCCAGCTAGGAGCTTTGATGTAACGCTTTTTTTTTAAATCTTCACCTGAGGATATTTTCCCAATGCTTATTCAGAGAGTGGAAGGGGGAGAGAGAGAGAAAGGGGGGGGGGG